GTGAAGAAATTTAGTCCTATTTCCAGCTGGTTTATGGTTTAAAACGGCGACTCTCGCGCTTTTTCATATTGGCAACAAGTATTTTTCCCAAATATTTTTCACTGGCACCCTTGCTGAGGAATATCTTTATAAAAACGATCGGAGCTGATCATTCGATCGACCTCTGATTCTAGCATTATTTCATTAACATTAATGATTGGTTTAGCACTGGCTAGCGAACTTCTACAAAACAGATTGATGGAGAGCGAGGAGTAGAATTCGAACCTATTTTCACGATATTCAATCTCACAGAATCATCACTGATACTTAACCAAAGCCGTGCCCCCTTCATATACAAAAATATTTCGACAAATGTTATAATTTGGTTATTGAAAACATTCTGAATGATATTTGGATATCTATAGATGTAACTCATAAGCTCGTTCGTTTGGAAATGTAAATTTCGCTTGTATCTGCTGCAGATTTGAAAATGCGCAGAAATCACAAGCTTGCTCATTAATATCTAAACAATTATCTGAAAGAAATTATGCAAATATTGCACGTTTCGTAAATTCCGCCGTGAGGCAATTTATTACGAGGCAAATTATTCTTAGGATACATTTATTTTTAATACTCAATCACTTGGATGTATACATATTGTATAATACAACATATTAATAATATATTAGCAGAGTCTTTATTGTATAAACGATGTTTTATATTTATCGTGTTTAATGTATATGTATTGTATTTATTAAAAATACAACAACTTATACATTGTATATTGCATGTCGCGTGTGTAATTTATACTTTTATATTGTGTGATTTACATTGTAAATGTCATATTTATTGTGTAGCGGCTAGCCACATGTTCGAAAAAATTATTTTCTAGAACTTTAAGAGAACATTTAGAAGAATTTACTCACGTGTATCGAAGCTATTGAATCGAGAAGGTCAAGTTCTGTTCTTTTAATGCATTTCGAGTTTTAGTGAAAAGCTACGAGCATCGTAAATCCTAGGTTCCCAAGGGCCCACACGTAAACCGAGAAACATCAGGTCGCGAATACAAGAATTGGGCCCGACAACAATTAATTAATTAAGGGAAAGTCGTCTCCAACGAAATTACATCTCTTGAGAAAGTCTGTCACGAGCGCGAGGATTTCAGGGCAATCTAGTTGGCTAAGACGTT